CCAGGCGCTTCCAGGTCCCGGACTCGCACGATATGGAAATCAGATGCAGAGCCCGGATGAGCGTCAGCGCCTGGCTTTTAAGGTGGGCTGGGAATAGGAAACAGGTGCACAGAATAAAGTCTAAGTGAAAGGGCTGGAGCACCCTTAAGGAGGGGGGATTATAATCATGACAATATCTCTAGCACTTCATACTGTCATAGAACATTTAGACGGACAGGGTACCTATGTTAGGATGCTGTTTATTGATTACACCTCGGCCTTCAACACAATTGTTCCCACCAAACTCGTCCCAAAACTTAGGAATCTGGGCTTATGCAAATCCATCTGCAACTGGATACTGGATTTCCTAGCAGGCAGACCTCATGTGGTGAAAATTGGCAACAATATCTCCTCTACAGCGATCCTAAACACTGGAGCTCCACAGGGCTGCTCTCTCAGTCCAAGGCTATACTCCTTGTTCACCTACGGCTATAAAGCCACTTACAGCAGCAACTACATAATTAAGTTTGCAGATGACATCACTATTATTTGGCTGATCAACAACAACAATGAGTCTGCATACAGAAATGAGGTGGAGCATATAATAAGATGCTGCCTTGACAACAAGCTGGCCCTAAATGTCAACAAGACAAAAGAGGTCATTGTGGACTTCAGGAGACCCAGGGGGAGATCCACACCATCTGCACCACATGAAACGTGTGGAGAAAAAAGCTGCTAAACAGCTCGACCTGCTGCTCTTTCGAAGGACACAGATACTCGTAGAATTATTGATATGGCAGATGATGTCAAAAGTACGCTGATAGAGCACTTTAAGATGAGCAGATGCTTTTCACTGCAATTAGATGAGTCTCAATTTGGCCAATTTGCTTGTTTACTTTAGATATGAGCTTGAGGGCACATCCCATTAGGACTTTTTGTTTCGTGAGCCGCTACCAACAAGAACTACAGGAGAGCACATATTTCAGCTTCGGAATGAATTTATCGAAGAGAATGGCATCGACTGGAAAAAACGAATGAACGAAAAAATCAGAGTTTGTACAGACGGTGCTAGAGTTATGACAGGCAGACAGAGCGGTGTAGTTGCACGAATAAGAGAGGTTGCTCCAGATATGAAGGGGACGAACTGCTGCATCCACCGTGAGGCCTTAGCAGTCAAAAAAATGCCTGAGGATTTAAAACTTGTTAGACTCTGCTGTCAAAGTTCTGAATTGTATCAAGGCTCAACCAATGAATTCACATCTGCTTTGCACGACTAAACAGGCTCACCCCTCTCACTGAAATGGTAAGTGCTCAGTGCTATTTTTACTATATGTATATCTTGGTCATTGAGATTTTCTGTGGTTCCTATGAGAAGATGACTTGTAGGTGGTACTTGGATGTTTTGGTTTGATCAGGGGTGGTACTTGGTCCAAAAAGTTTGAGAACCATTGCTCTATAACAACACTTTATTAGCCATATACAATTTTTTGCATTAGGAATTTGTCTTTTCACATACCCCAGCTTGCTCTCCATGAGACACACAAGCACACAGACAGGGAGACAGAAGCGCAGGGTCAGCCATTTATACAGTGACCCTGGGGCAGCTGGGGTTAAGGGCCTTGCTCAGGGTCCCAACAAATTGAAAATGTGTCACAAATGTTGTTTTTCATGCCTGTTGTGTTCATTTTTAGTCTCTGAGTTATTGGTAAAAGGTTGTTAGTATTAAACATGCATAAGATATTTATTTCAATCTATACTTCATTTACAATTTAATTTCAAACACATAACATAAAAATAAAATACACTATAAATTTAACAAATATTTTAAACATTTTTATTACAACATTTATTATACAGTCATTACTCATAAAGGTTGGTTATATATAGTATTTTTATTAGTCAAAGCACATACATTTATAGTTATAACATATTTATATTATATAAATTAATTATTAATATTATTATATAAAGAGCCAGCAATGACTTTGAATCATTTTTATATCTATGTGGTGTTTGCTCAGTTATTTCCAAAGCTGGGGCTGCCATGACAACTGTTAGTTCTACAGCTGGCTTTAATAGCTTTACAGACGTTGGGTATCCAAAATGACAAACCTTGTAAATGTTAGCAACCTTGTACCATTTTCTAAAGCTATCTGTAACTCAAGAATGCACCAATCACCAGTCAGTCACCTTTCTTCATTACAAATAATCCTGTTTTATTTCAGAGGGTGACAATGTGTATGTGCAGTGCCACGGCTGGTTACAACTACGAGGGTGGTGATGCATTAGAACCCAAGTGCAAGTGATCGCAGAGTGGCGGAACACCCAAGTAGAGCCAACTGATTGAGGGCTAGGAAAAGGGAAAATGAAAATGGAAAGGCGAAAATAGAATAATTAATTACTTGCCGGTGGGGCTTAATCAGCCCAAGCCAGTGTAGCGGCAATGCTCGTTAATAAGACAGAATTAAGTGTTGCAGTGCTTTTCCAAATGAGGCCTCTCTCTTCTGTCTTCATCTCTGTGGTGCAGGCTGATTTAAAGATGTTTTCTTTTGATAAGGGACAGCTCCCAAATGGGGATGCACTTAGCTAAGCCTCAGCACTGTCTACCAGGTTCACTCTCTGACCTAGGTGCCTGGGTCCAAATCAGAATCGAATACCCAGATATACTCTGCACCCACTGGGGGAGACAGCCGCGAATGACGGGAGGCAAGGACCCATCATAAAATCCGTTTCATCTCCCAGAGCCCTTTGTCAGCAAAACTGCAGGGAGAGGTCCCAGTCAGAGCCCTTATCCTTAGGCAGACCAGGATTACAGGGAAATGCTCTCCAGACAGAGCAGACAATGGATGCCTGGCTCCCCAGAATAGAATAGAATAGGCTCTACTGGGACACTGGAAGGAGAAAAGGGGAAGGAAAGAATAAAACCAGAGAACCAGAGAAACCGGAGGGTGAGAACTAGAAAGGAACCCTGAGTCTAGAGAGGAAGCCTCCCCAAGGAGGAGGCAGAAGGGCAGCTAGTGAAAAGATGAAGAAAAAAGGAAACGTGCAAGGGATAGGGCTTGAAAGGAACCAAAACTGGGCTGTGGCCAATGAGGTGAGTGGACTGCATGGACAGAGCCCTGGGGTCCTGGACGATGAAAGCTGCCTTCTGGATGTGGGACAGAAGGAGAAGGAGGCCAGCAGGGACAAGTCCAGGATTCCCAGGACGGAGCCCAAGAGAAACCAAGCAGTCAGAGCTAGCCCTGCGGTGCAGGGCTGTATAAGGAGAGCCCTTCCAGCTCAGACTGCACAAGACAGTTGCGAATACCCACATTTCTAGCCTTTTTACCTCCTCCCCCTCTTTGCAGGAATCTTCAATGGTCCCAGAATAGTTACCACCTTCTGGCCATGCATGCTTCATACAGCAACTGGCACATAATTTCAGGCAATTATCAGCTGGTGGAGCCATACCCACAAACTATAGTGCCCGCACTGGGGTTCCTGCCTTCCACCCCTCCTTGTGCAAGTTGGAGGTGGATATTTTGGTTTATTAGAAATAATAAAAATGGTTAATAACACAAGGAGACTGTCCAGCCCATCTAGCCCATTTGGTAGAAACAAAGTTACTGGCTTGAACAACATGGCTGGGTGGCTTGTTCCATACTCTCACAACTCTTTGAGTAAATGATTTGTGTTTCACTGTTCATTCAGAAGAAACCTACTGGGTTTGTCCATGCATTTGAGGATTTTGAATATTTGTATCATGTCTCCTTATAATCTTCTCTGTTCAAGACTCACAACATTCTGTTCCTTTAGTCTGTCAGTGTAGTAATTCCTTACCCTTATACTGTATAGTACGTTTGTGAACACCATCCACTCCATTACCACCATTGTGTACCACCCACCTGGATGATGTGTTGGCAGACAAAATACACCACCACACATCAGCTATCAGTGGGGTGAAGAACAGAGTAATGAAGCCAATTGATAGGATTATTAGGAGACCATGAATATTAAATTTATAAATATTAAATATTAAAGGCCAGGGGGAAAATTGGCCAGGAGACCCCTAGTCTTTTCAAGAAACACTCTGGGATTTTTGATGAACCTGGAGAGTCGGGAGCTCGGTTTTATTGTTATTGGAAGGACTGTTTGATGTTTTCTCTAAATAAATGTGCGGATTGAAATGTAAATTCTGATCATTACTCATCCAAGATGTGAAAACACTTCCGGGATTTAACACTAACAATTGGACAGACAGATCTACCGCAAGAGGGCCTTTTGCTCAGGGAGTCATTCAGGTCATATTATTGTCTAGTAGTAAATTGAGTACGGACGCGAAACGAACGGTGGTCCTGTGTTTAGTTTGATTACCTATTCTTATTTGTCCTTTTAGACATGCTGCTAGAAGAATAAATTATTAGAATGTGTGCAGCAAAGAAAAGTTTAAAAATGTTAACTTTCACCTAGCTGTTCCCTCACTTTTAGAAAGTTATGGAATCGAAACTGCAAGTACTCTTAAACTTTGTTTCAAGACCAAACTAGTACACGCCAGATAAACCCAAATAATTCAAAACATTGTAATTCATTACCTTGGGAAACATATGATCTTATTTTAGGTTGGGGCAAATTAGAAGCTTACGCAATAATACATTTAGGTATTAAGAATGTATCGACCTTTTTTTTGTTTGTGTACAATACCTTATATCCTTTTCATTGTATCGTCTAGTAAGGGCTGTCTACCATAGTAGCACGGAATTTCAAACTGCATTACAGTGAAAGCTCATCATGAACATCCACATTTTAAAAACAAATATTTTAACTTTGGGACTTTTACTCGCTTTTTGCATGGTAGCAAAAAGTGCCCAGATTACAACAAACAAAGGTAAATGATACATTATTTTAACTTTGAAGCCCTTTGTAGTTTCAAACATATCAAGGCATTTCCGTGTTTTGTTTTCGAATACTTGTGTAGATGTTACAAAAGAACATTCTTATTAAAATAACTTATTTTAAAAAACGTGACATGTTACTATATTATGCGCTTAACGAGATAGAATTAAGCGCATGACGTAATCTAGTCAGCAGTAACACGTAGCATTGCTGTGGTGAAGTTCAGGGCTTTTATTTCATTTTGAAGGTAGAGCGGCGACTGTAAACTGACACGTTTGCTTACAAAACAACCCATTTGCTGTTCAACCTAATAAACAAGCTGGACATTATATTTAGTTACAGAATATATAAGTATAATAAAGATTTTAATTAGTAATGTGCAAACATGGAATTTAATCCCCCCCACTATTCAAATTAATATCAACATCGCCCGGTACAAAATGGTTCCAGTGTTTACGCTTGTTTTTAAAGTAATATTAATAGTATTAAGGGCAGGACCGTAGAGAAAGAAAGATCCATTGAAAGCAGTTACAAGAAAACCTTGAAGTGCTGATTATTGTGTTCTTTTTAGAATAAAAACATTTTTTATTAGTTTTAACAATGTTTTGTCAGTTTTAGTACAGCTACACTAAACTAACCCATAGGTTTTGTGACACTTTATATATTACTCTTATTGTACAGAAGGTATAACAATACATTTTGGTTAAGTTCCATGTGAAGGCTTAAGTGAGTGGTTATAAGTAATGGTTTAAATTAATTATTTTTTTATTTTCGTTTTACTTACAGATTGCACTTCAGTGAGTGAAAATGACAAAATTCTTGGAAATAACAATCAATGTTTCTGCTACAGATTACAAACGGAGATTGGGTGGAATATTTGGTCCACGTTCCAGGTGGTATTTCTGTACCATATTGAAATGTTTAGTATTAATTTCTAGTTTGTCTCTCTTGAAGTGCAGAAAAACGTTATTCATATTAGCATATTTTAAATCGACTTCCATACAGTATATCCTGTTGTTTCATTGTGCCTTGCTGGAATACATTTATAACTATTTACACTTTAAAGTGTAGTTAATATAGTTCTGGTTATCATGAATAAAATTATGCTTCAGCATTCAAAGCAAAAAAAGGCTGAACAAACCCTAGAGCATTCTGATCATGTGTACGCTTGTTTTTAAAATTATGTGTTGCATTTGCTATTATTAAATAATTTAATTTCATGGTGTTTTCTTTTGACAGCATAAGGTCTAGTGATTAATTTGCAAAATTACACAAATCGAATTGGCAGCCTAATGTGAATGTAGCTTACAGACTGAACTGCTGGCTTGAAGAGTATAATATGTGATGAGTTGTGACATACAGTGCCTCTTCTTGTTATCTGGTGCTAGGCCTCAGTTACAGTGACAGAAATACATGTAACACAACACTGTTATGTTTTGCTTTTTTAGGTGAATGTGACAGGTGATGATGGTGTTCACATTGTGTTTCCATTGGAACGAAACTTGAATGATTCTCTGGCCATTTTTGGTTTTCTGAGGAGTAGTTTAAATCATTACTGGCCTTTTTTTAAGACTCAGAACGAAAAGTGGATGGATATTGCATTAGTTGATGAAGACGTATGCTTTTTGGTAAAGTCTATCAACCCGCAGGTGCAGTATTATCTGCACGTAACTGAAAGAAGTAAGTAGAATTATTTTTGTGTCTGAACTTTTGTGTTTTGTTGCTTTTATCTTTGCTGATATGCACAATAATAATTAGGCACACTCACAGCTTAACTAGCAAGCATACACTGTATGAAGAAAATGATGGAGGTGGAAATGTTACCATAAAAAAAAATGTTTTAATTTTATTTTGTCACACACCTGAAGAAGGCTCCATGGCCGAAACGTTGTGTTCTCTTTCTTCTTTTTTTCAGCATGGAATAAACCTATTACTTGTTCCTTTGCAGCCTACGCATGTTAACGCAGCTACCCACATGAACTACTTATTTTGAAACTGTCAGCCTTGATTGTGGCTTCAGTGATATAGTAAAGTTTCAACAGTAATCTTTATGATTCTTCTAAGAGAAAGAAAATCATAATGAAACCATACTCCATATTCCACACATAGGACTCCATACTCTGTGTATTTAAAAAACCATGTCTTATACCAGTGAATTAGTCAGTGTAAAGTGTCTAAAGAATTGTCTTATTCCTTCAGTTGATATCCATTTAATGATTTCCTTGTTATTTTGTAAGTAAAATAAAATATGAGAAATGTTTTAGCAGCCTGGCTTTGCTTCCTTTGCTTTACAATCTAACAATGAATTGTGTATTTTAATAACATTTTCATATCAAAGTTTAATTCTTATCATTAATAATTTCAGAGTTTAATAAATATCAGTTTTCCCTGTTCTGTTGTGGAGCGATCCTCTACTACTTGGCTGGAGCATTGTGCAGGTAATTTGATGATAGAGTTTTTATAAAAAGACTTGTCTACATAAAATTGAAACCAGTGAATTTACAGTCACAGTAAAATGCAATGTTGTTTTTTTACTGCAGGATATACATTGCACTCTGTGTCTGCTGGGTATCAATAAGTGCCTCATAAAATAATAATTAAGTTTTATTTTTATCTTTTATTTTTTGTCTTTTCCAGATGTATTTATCATTTTAGCTATTGCAGTTTAGGAAACTGTACCTAAAGGGTGTTCTATAGTTTGTGGGAAAACACTGATTATGTTAACACTGATTATGTTTACGTGCAATTTTGAAAGTCCCAGTTTACCCATCATAAGAAATGTTACAGATGAGGCTGTTTAGCCGATTTAGCTCATGCAATGTATTATTAACCATTTTTTTAATAAAAAGGACAGTATATCAACTTGACAGTATAGCTGGTTCACTAGTTCCAGATTCCCACAAAACTTTGTTTTTTTTTAAAAATCTTGTTCATTGATCTATGAATCCATTTTGGATAATGGTAGATATGGCTGATGACTGCTATGGTGGTTTAAACATCTGCTTCTTTGTAGTAGTGTTCATGCAGTCATCAGTTGTTAACCACGTTTATAATTGGTGATGATTTGTATCCAATATATGAGAGAAAAATTAAAATCTACATTAACCACTTTTTCCTTTACACATGCATGATTACATTATGTAACCATACACTTAACACTTTACCATTTTGATGGGTTTTTTTTAATAGGTCTGACCCATATAGATTGTGATATCCCTGATTAATATAGGTTAAGTTCTTAGTTCTTGTAAATGTCTTATTTAATTTGAACTTCTCTAGAATGCACATTGATTTTATTCAGCTTTAAAACCTTAGTTATAATGATTCCCTTGTGTGTGTTGTGAGGAAGTTATAAGTGTTTTTTTAGCTTGTTGCATTTAAAGATACTTCCAGTAGATCTTGTCATAAAGAAATTATTTGTTGGGAGAATCTATGCAAACCGTTCAAATAATTCCTAAGCCTTCTATGCTGCAGTAGGTCATTCACAACTGTATCATTCTGTACTAAGCAGTGGGTGTTGGAATTGTGCTATCTTGCCCCCCAAAATAAAAAAAACAACATGTTAAATATTTAAAACAGGATCAAGGAAAGAAGGATTAAGAATTTCCTGATCTCATATCCTTGAATGTATAGACCTAGCAGTTCACTCAAAAAAATTCCCCAAGAAAATCCTGTTAGTAGATACTGTTATCTCACTATGTTGATCTAAATTGATTAATAGTAAGTTTTGCAGAATAATATGATTATTTATATACAGTATTTCCCTTGAGGTAATATTTTATATTTTGCTTGTATATTTGATTTTATACTGTATTTGCCCTTATAATAAGTCCTATTTATTCTAATCTATGTGAGTTACATAAAATGTACCGTTTGTTCTGCTTTTAAAATTGAATATTGTGCTACTTTATGACTGAGTGCTGAAAGTCCTCATCTGTTACTGCTTATTATGGGTTACCACCAACACTGGTATTAACATAATTGCTTAATTTTAGACACAGAAACTAGATTATCAGTAAGCCCTGTAACATGTCCTAAGAAATGTTCCTTGACCGCAATGTATACAGTGCCTTGCGAAAGTATTCGGCCCCCTTGAACTTTTCAACCTTTTGCCACATTTCAGGCTTCAAACATAAAGATATAAATTTTTTATTTTATGT